TGGACTGACTATCTTTTATGGTCGGAGGAGCAGGCACTACACTAGTCAGGCGGAGCCTGCCTCTCGCGGAAAAACGGAGAGTCAGGTTCAGTACGGTAGCTAGTTTTGTGTCACCGGTGGAGCTGACAGCATGCATATAGGTGGGGCTGAAAATGAGCACCGCCCATATGCGTGTAAACGTGACCGTCGTTGTATGTTTAGGCTGTGGTAAAGACTTAAGCAAAGAGAGCAAAAACAGATGTGATCCAGCAGCAGAAAGGTGCAGAGATGTGATAAATGTTTGGAGGAAGCATTTTATGGACCAAGTTGCCGAGAATGATATTAGCCGAGAATGATTATAGCAGTTAATGGACTTAAGACAATAATTACTGAATGGTCAATAAGACTTGGAAGAGACATATAACACAAAGACTTTCCATAGCCAGTGGGTAGCACTATGAAAACATCTCTTCCTTCGAGGAAAGCCTTGATAGCTGCCAACTGCTCCTCCTTTAAGACATAGTTCAGCTTTCTAAGCACCATTTCCTTTACAACCATTTTAAAATAATTTATGATAATGTTATTCATGTCTTGTGTGGGTGTTATTTGGGTCATTGTGACTCATTTCCTGCTAGCGCAGAAATCCTGTGCTTGACACAAAACTAGCTACCGTACTGAACCTGACTCTCCGTTTTTCCGCGAGAGGCAGGCCCCGCCTGACTAGCACTACACCAGCTGTCAAGCACCCTCAGTTTCAATATGATCAGACTAAGGATGGACGTGTTCAAACCAATGAACAGTTACTATACAATCTATCTAATGGTGAGTTTCTTTGATCAATTGTGTGAATATGTCTTAAGACGTGATGGTTGATGAGATCATCTTATTTTATTGTATTTTTACTTATAGGACAATTCACTGTTCCATCTGTTAGTGGACAGTGTTGCCCACCAACTAGTGACTTTACAATCAACAAAATAAATCAAAATAAAGGAATAATGTTAGGAGGACTAGTAACTAATGATGGTCTCAATACTGCTACTAATAGTGTGTACATATTTAATGTAACACATAATACGATAGTAAGTTAACCTTATTATGATGATCAAGAGATTATAAAGCTGATTTTATCATGATGATGCAAAGTTTTGAAAACTGTTTATTTATTTAAATATATCAGACTTATGAGTCATATTTCTGATAAATTAATCTAAATCACTCGTCTACATTATACTTTAATGTATTATGTTTATGTTTTATGTATTTAGCATTGGGAGAGTATTAAAAGAGGATCAATATCTGGTGAGGGACTCTGGACTAAGGAGAGATTTAATCATGCTTGTGCTATTATCAGTAGTGACTCTAGCTCACCTGCACTAGTAGTGATTGGTGGACGGGATAATAACAATCAACTAGTGACTGAATGTTTATTATTTGATGATATCACTACTGGTCAGTTCAGTTGTAAGAAGGTATGTGTATGTACATGTGTATGTTGTTTATGTATAATTTAACATTGAGAATTGGAGGAGCCTCACCATAATACTCTATAATTAGTGATACATTTATGTGTACATATACTTGTTGTAATGTATCAGTAATATTTCTAATTGTCTACAGATTCCTCTACCTGATTGTGTTACTGGTAGATACTATCATTCACTCACAGCAGTCACAATGTCACCACACTGTGTATGGCTAGTGATTGTTGGAGGAGGTGAAGAGGTTGTATGGGAAGATATTGGAGGAGGAGTGGAAAAGCCGGTGAATACATTTATCACTGATACTAATGGACTAACAATGATAATTGAATTAGGTAAAATAATAATAATAATTAAAATCACATTATAATGAGGATTGTTACAGACTTGTTTTTAATTAAATATTCTCTTATTTCAGTATATATTGAAGCTGGTGAGTGGATAGTACAGTCAGTACTGGATGGTAATGATCTCACTAGTAAGAAATATCAAGAAAAGTATTCAACATACAGCAAGACCAGAACTTGGTGGATGGATCAGCTAATAGAATATCCCACAGAGAAGGAAATGAAGCTTCAGAGATACATCCAGTCTTTACATCAAGAACTACAAGTGGCTCATCAGAACAAAGTATCACTACAGGAGGCACTGACTGAGGCCAATAAACAAGGTACATGTACATGTGTAATGTAATGTAATGCATAGCTATAGAAATTTGGAGTGTATGATTTTGACCGAATGATTTTTATTAAAATTTTTCGATACCCTATAAATATTTTAAAAAATGCAATCCACTATTATAGCCCATGGTTTTTTTCAATAAAATGCCTCTGGACTCACCCCAACTTTATTACATATTTTATGCATATTGATATCCTTATGCTATGTAGAAAGTTTGAGGTGATTCTGACTTGAATTTTTTAAAATTTTACCAAAATCTTAAATTTTATGCTACCACAATCACCCATTGATGAATGGAGCTAGATTTACTGAAATACATTGTACATAAGTATACAATGTACATGCTTGTTGCTGCATCAAATTTTCTAGCTACATGTACGTGTACGTATACATGTACATGTACATGTACACATTATACACATTGTTTATACACATTATGCATGTACATTGTACATGTATGATTATTCTTGTTATCTTTTCAGCTAACTTTGACAAAATTGAAACTGTAAAGAGTGAGAAATTGGAAGAGGTGTTAAAAGCACAGGCACAGTTACAAGAAGAGAAACAGATTATTACTGGTTAGTGTATCATCAGTACATAATCTTAGATGATTCTATCAATGTAGAAGATTATGAGAAACTGAAAGCTAAAGTTGGTGATTATGAAATATATATAACTGAAATAGAAGAAGAGAAGAGACAGGTAGAGGAAAAATATCTCCAGGAGAAACAGATCACTAAAGGT